ATCTTAAGAACCTGTATTGCCTACAAATTTAACATTTTTCATGTTGTATTGCCTTTTGAAACAGGTGACCCAGCCAGCACTAGCCCAGAAGGTTTAGCATTTTCCTCACCCTAGATAACATGACCATAAATTTCTTTGATTTTCAGCCTGACAACAATGTGGTCCATTATTCATTAAAAAAAAAATTTTAGAGCAATTTTAGGCTCAAAGCAAAATTGAGCAGAAAGTAGAGGCCCATATACTCCTGCTCCCACACATACACAGCTCCCACACATACACAGCTTCCTCTGCTATCCCACACCACGGTAAGAGATCTCACAGTGATCTTTTCACTGTTTCTATGGTTTCATCTTTTCCAGAATGTTGTATTCTTGGAATTGTACAGTATGCAGCCTTGTCAGATTGGCTTCTTTCACTTAGTAATATGCATTTAGATTTCCTTCAAGTCTTTTCATGAATTGATAGCTTATTGCTTTTTAGTGCTGAATAATATTCCATTGCCTGAATGTAGCACAGTTAATTTTTCCGTTAGCTTACTGAAGGACATCTTATTTGCTTCCAAGTTTGGGAAATTATGAATAAAGCTGCTATAAGCATTTGTGTGCACATTTTTGTGTGGATATAAGTTTTCAGCTCATTTGGGGAAATACCAAGGAGCATGATTGCTGGATTGTATAGTAAGAGTATGTTTAGTTTTTTAAGAAACTGCTAAAATTGTCTTCCAAAGTAGCTGTACTATTTTGCATTCTCACTAGCAGTGAATGTGAGTTCGTGTTGCTGCACGTCCTCACCAGCATTTGATATTGTCATTCTTTTGGATTTTGGCTATTCTAATAGGTGTGTAGTGGTATTTGGTTGTTATTTGAATTTACAGTTCCCTTATGACATTGATATTGAGTGTATTTTCATAAGCTTATTTGCTATCTGTATATCTTTAGTGAGGAATCTGGTCTTTTGCCCATTTTTTAATTGGGTTGTTCATTTTCTTATTGTTGAGTTTTAAGAGTTCTTTATATATTTTGGTATATCTGATAAGTCTTTTGCAAATATTTTCTCTGAATTTGTGACTTCTCATTCTCTTGACTTTGAAAAGTAAAATTTTGAAAGTAACTCCATCAAGACCTTTTTTTTTTTTGGAAGTTTTGCCTATTATGGATGAATTTTCTGCCCATTTGTCAACTTCTATAAAATGTCTGACTGGGATTTTATATTATATTTAATTGTTTTTGGAACTGGAAAACCACTGAAGGTATTTTTAATACTGTTGAATTAGCATGAAAATAGAAAGCATCCTTCTGTAGTTTGTTTCCAATACAACTTGAAAATTATGAGGTCTCTTTATCATGTGAAAAAAACTCCATTATTTTGGTAAAGTCTTAATTAAAAAATAAACATTTGTATTTTAACAAATGCCAAGTCAACATCTAAAGAGATGATTATTTTTTAAAACTTATTATGTTGCTGTGATGCTTTCTGTCTATTATTTTGCTGGTGCTGTGACAGTTCTCACTCCAGGCGTTAAATTCTGTGTTGTATAATTCTTAATGTTCTGTTCATTTGTTTAGATTTTGTTTAGGAAGGAAAGAGTTAAAAACTATACCTTCCCTGTCATATAATATGTGCATTTATATGTGCAAACATTGTCATCTTTGACAAATATGCTAAATAGTCCTTTCTTGTGGAAAATAGTTTTGGACTAGTTAGCTTTTTCACAGTTTAGAGGATAGCTATGCTGGAATCATAGACTGTGAGACCATCTAGATCACAATGAAAGGGGCCTTCAGCATTTTCCAGTTATGCCTTCTTATTTACAGGGCAGGAAACAGAGGCCCACAAAGGAGAATAACTTGGGCAAAATCAAAATGGGTTTGTGATTTTGTAATCCAGATCTTCTCCTAATCTACAGTACTGTTTTCTAAACCAAATATAAAACCCTACTTGGACATTTGATCACCACATTGCACTACCCAGTAAGAACCAACAGGGAAAATGTCTTTTACATCACATTTATTTTATCAGTTGTTTGCTTGCTTGTTTCTTTGCTTGACAGTTGTGATGTGCTTGGGTCTCACTCCATTTCCAAGTTCCCAGTTACAGTCATAGACCCTGGCCTCTCTGCCCATGAGTATCACTCTCTCTTCTGGGTCAGTGATGGTGTCTGCCTAATAACTTCTCTTTTTCAGGAAACCAAAGCTGTGCTCTAGATGTCAGAGTCACGTGGATGGGAATAAAAGAAATTTAGTTTACTAGGCAGGTAGCACTGAAAATAAAAGCAGTCCTCATGGTGATGTTTCTACCCCCATGACCCTATCCAAGATAGCCAAAACAAACTAAGGGAGGGGATCCACTGCTTGTATACCATCTTCTTTCTATGCAGTGTCCACTCTTTGCTATCCCATGCTTGCTGCCTGTGTTGTACTGAAGAAAAAGGAAGCTTCCTGCCTTAATTTCTAAAGGAAAAGTAAGTTTTGAATGATGACAAAGAGTTTGTGAGTGTACGTGTTCTTTCAGAAAGATGTAATCTTGTTGCGAAAATTTGGAACATTTTGTGTATTTTTGCTGATATTTGGGGAAAGGGGATAAAATATTTGAAAGGGGACTGTTCAAGAAAGCACACAGTCACTGAACACATACAGATGAGCCCAGTTTTCTCTATCACCCATCACTCAGACTCTGTCTTAAGAAGAATTCCTAATAAGCCCTAGACAGGCCAGACAGAGAGTGTGGTTAGTGTAGTCTATGCCACAGGTGAGCATCTGAGACAGTCTTCTTCTCCATATGGGATTAGGTGTCAGATGAAACTAGGGAGTAGGGAAGTTAAAAAGGTTGAGGAAATGGCCTGTCGCTTAAGCAATACCTTTGAGGGCAAAACATGCAAGTACTTTATTAACGAAAATCCTGACAATGGAGTCTATTATGGACCTACTGTGTTTAACTCTTGATTCTGAATTAAGCCCCGAAGGTAATATAGGTTTCCAGAGCACTTTCCAGAAGGGAATAATGGGCCTCACATTTCATAGTGTGTTTTTAAACTTTCTGTCTTTCCATCTCTGTCCCATAATTGTCTCTTCCTGATTCCTGAACACTCCTCCCTATACAGAACTATTCACACCTGACACACTCTGTTTGGCTCTTTGTCTTGATCACAGAGGCCAAAAACTCCTGACTTGGCCCTGCCCTCAGCCTTCCACCTTCTCACGCTGTTGTCCCTTGTATTGGACCACACTTGCTTGGTAGAGTGCTGCTCTGCCATGTTGGAATGAGGACCCGTGAGTCCCGGGTTCCTGACTACAACAGGATGGACAGAGTGGAGCTCAGGGGAAATGCCATTTGGGTGAAACACCTGGCAGAAGCAGAGGAGGCATTCTTCCTTGATTGTAGAATTAGAGTCCAGGGTAGTAAGCTGATTGATCAGGGTGCTGGCTTCTCAGATTGTGGACCTGGGCCCCTGAAGGCTGTTTTCTAGTGCTTGGCAGCAATCTTCCTGACTGTAGGGTCATCCCAGAATCCCGAGGCCTCATGCTTCTGTACCAAATAAGAGGAGGTTGTGAATGTATGAGAGAGAGAGAGCCCATCCCTGGGTACCCCCTCCCTAGCCTCCACTGTCCTTAGAGATTTTGGTATGTCAGTCCACCGGGAATGGGCATCACTGGCTCTGGGAGTTGCAATCCTTGATGATTGTGTCGCCTACAGGAAAGAACTCTTGCTGGGCATTAGGAGACATAGTGTCATAAGTTATCAGAGCCTGTGCTTTCATCAGGAAAGTCAGGAAAATTCCTCATACTTGCCTGAGGAATATTAAAACTAAGTAAAATTGTAGATCCAATATGGTTCTGACCAATCAAAAGTGCTTGTCATATGTAAAGGTTTATAATAATTACATTTAAAATGTATGTAAATATGAGATTAGCTGTTAATTATTCCTTTCATGGTTTCAGCACTGGTCAATTTAAAGTATAATGATCTATTTCTTTAAGAGGAATAGTTTTTATTTCACACGGCCAGCTCTCTAAGATAGAATCAAATTTGGTTTAAACAGGGACCTAGGGAGTTCACCTCTGTTGCCTGGTTCAGGCAGGACCATATCTGAAACGTGTCAAACTGATTTTTTTTGAGGAAGATTAGTCCTGAGCTAACATCCGCTGCCAGTCCTCCTCTTTTTGCTGAGGAAGATTGGCCCTGAGCTAACATGTTTGCCCATCTTCCTTTACTTTATATGTGGCTTGATAAGCAGTGTAGGTCCATGCCTGGGATCCAAACTGGCAAACTCCAGGCTACCAAAGTGGAGCACAAGGATTTAACCTTTGCACCACCAGGCCGGCTCCCAAACTGATTTTTAAATAAGTATTTCTGAAGTCTTCTGCAGAACTTGATGCTGCTGTCTTTTTTGATTACCCAGTCCTCTAGTTCTCAGTTGTCACTGTTGAAAAGTCATTCTGAATGTCTAAGTTAAATCTCTGGTGTTGTACCTTGGTCTTTTTTTCTCCTAGTCTTTTTCTTATGGGAAAGAAATTGACATCTCTCGATGTTAAGGCATAAGACTCTCAAACTTTTATTAATTTTATTCTAAGTCCTTTTCCTTCTAAGTCCCTTATTTTTTACTCCTTTTTCATGGCCTTCCTTATCTGTCATTCTTTCTATGTTCCCTTATTCCCTCAGTTGAATGAAGAGAATCTCTCAAACTCTATTTTGGTGAGATCCAGAACTGATCCTGAAATTCCAGGGGTTTCTGATGGGGCTGAAGATAGAGGAGGAAGCCCTGGCTCTGTACTTCACCATTAGTTGAGAGTGGTGGGAGGTCACCTCCTGCCCCTTTAGAAGAGATGTATATTGGAAGTACAGGCTTCTGAAGGCTTAGGCTCAGAGCCAGCTATACTTCTATCCACACACCCATATCCAAGTGGATGCCATCTCACTTGGGGACTATCAAAAGAGGGCCACTTACACAGTCCTGGATGCAGATGATGTGCGTGTCACGGAGCAGCTGCTCATTCCTAAGCAGAACACAAGAAGTCCTTCTGTTACCAGGAGTCTAGAAATGTTTCCCTAAGAGCCCTCCTTAGTTTGCAGTATAGCCAGTCAAAGTGGAAGAGGCCAAAACATATGGGCAAGCTGAAGACATACAGGCCTGTCAGAGAAGGAGTTGCAGAATGTAACACCAGACATCTAGTCATTTGCAAAGCATAGGGAATCATGACCACCAGATCTCTGTTTAACCAGTGCTGGGCATTAGGAGTTAGTCAAATGCCTCAGTCCCAGGGCACTGCCACTGGAACAGGTCCTTAGTTTCACACTTCTTGTCTCCTTTTTTTGTATAGGAAATGGATACAATGAGACTTGAATTCTCCTCATCTTATCCTGAATCCCGCCCCCCTCTCCCCCCTCCCCCCCCCCCCCCCCCCCGCCACCTTTTAGGAATAGCAGCAGATAGGATTCTCAATCCACATTTTTACATCCTGGGTCATCAGGTGGGTGTTCCTAGGGCCCTGTAGTGACCTCTTTGGAAATCAGTCTTCCTTGCATAAAGGAGAGCATCTTTCAAGCTGAGGTAAGCTTAGCTCTTTTGACCTGTTGATCCTTGGGGATCAGCAGCCAAAAAAAATTCCCTCTGTATCTCATGATGGGTTCTGCCTGGCGATATTTCCTTATCATTCTGGAGTGGAGGTGATTGACCAGACTTGGAGAAAGATCAGAGGGTGTTCTCTCTGCACTGGCCGTATTTCAAGATTCTCAAGAAGATTTGGACTCTTAGGAGCTCTGTTTTGTAGAGGGGTTGAAAAGCAGAGTAGTTCCAATTCCCAGAGAGACCCCTAGACAAGTCAGAATCTTCTTTTGATTTTCTCCTCCCTCTGGTTCCCTCACCCACATCTGAAGTCTCCTCAATCTTTCCATAAGACTTGGAAGTCCCTGAATTAAATCTTATTTCATTCTGACATTAGAGGATGTTTCACTGGGCGCAGTCTTTTACATCCTTGATATTCAAAGGTGTGATCCGTGAACCAGCAGCTTTGGCATCACATGGGAGCTTCATAGAAATACAGAATCTCAGGCCCACCCTAGAACTATTAAATTAGAATCTACTTTTTAACAAGGTACCCAGGTGATTTGTATACATGCAAAAGCTTGAAAAGCTCTGATTTATTAGTTACTTCTTGGATGGGTGAAGGAAGGAGCTCCAAATATGGCTTTTATTCTATAATTCTAGACTCCTGGGTGTTTTGAGTATTTTCCTGAAACACTAGAATTTACATCTGGGCATTTGAGAGCTATAACTTGACCACCCTGAAAAATCATTCCATTCTGACGTTCCCACTATTCAATCCCTGTGCCAGCCGTGCTAAGTCCTTACAGCAGAGCTGGGAAGCTGCTCCCCTCTGGGCTTGCCGTCTCTCTTCTACTGAAAAGAGCCATGTCTGACTGAGGGCTGACAGTGTCCTTAGGCCCTCAACAGCTATCCAGAGGGGGAAAGGGATCCTGCTGTCCGTTTTCAGATGACTGGACTAGACAGAGGAGAGACTAGGAGTGTGTATGGAAGTTCAAGGAAAGTCAACACCTAGCTTGGCTGAAGGAGAAAGGAAAAGAGGACCTGGACTCCAGTTCTTAGCCAAATGGAAGATCCCACAATGAGACTTTGGGATGAACTCCTCCTTATTCCCTCCCACCACTCATGGCTTATTCAAACCCTGGAATACTGCTCTTTTACCTCGAATCCGAGCATCTTCCTGCAGCTGAAAAATAATGAAAATTCAGAGAAAGTCAGGGGCCAGTCTCCTCTGGACCGTCAGGGGTCAAATATTAGGATGTCTATGTGGGAGATATGGGCTTCTTGGGAATGAAATTAAATTCTAAGTTTCCTGAAAGCAGGATTTGTATTGTTTTTGTATCCCTCCCACCAACCACTTAACATAATGCCCTGCATACAGCATATGCTTAATAAATGTTTGATAAATAATGAATAAATAAACGGAACAAGCTGTGGCCTGTTTAGAGAGGGGAGACATACAGTCCATTACTTATAGTCCTAATCACTCATACAGTGACCTCTCCTCTTTTATGCTTCCTGGCCTTTCTACTCTCCCTTTTCTGGCCCATTTCACCCTCCTCACTGAGTCTCCAGTGGTTCTCTGAGGTGAACCGTTAAGTATCTGTGAAAGCCCTTGAAAAAAATTCCTTCATACTCATCCTGTGGTAAATAGCTATTGATGATCCACTTTGGACCCCCTGAGCTCACAGGAGCGGCTAGATGGTCTTTGTACATAACAGTGCTTTAGGGCTAGGCCTTAAAGTTTGCCTAATCATAAAAAAGTATATTCTAATTCTAGCTCTCCCTGCTATCTTCTGCTTGGCTTTCTTCTCTCAGTATTTATGTACAAAAATTGCCCTTCTAAGTCTGTGACTAGGTGTCTGTTTTGTCTACACCAGCCTGGGGGATCTATGAGGGCAGGGATTGTGTCTGATGGACTCCATGAAGAAGCACTAGAATAGAGCTTCAGCACAGAGGATGTCAGATGGGACCTTGACTTTGTTTATAGGCCCTGAGAAGATGGAAATCAACACACACAAGTTCTACTTATGGACAAGCTGCCTCCTCTTACTAACCTCAAGTCTTACCTGGAGGAGACTCAGGCCTCAGGGGATTAAAGTTCCAGGTAGGGTGGAGGCACTCTGACCCCAAGGCAAAACTTGGGTGAAAACATCAAGCTTTTGATCTCTACCCAGTCCCCTCTTGTAATTTTCCCTAGAGTAAGCCCCAGACACAGCAGCAAGATACAATGACCTGGCTTCTTGGACTATAGAAAGGGGCTCAGTTCTAAGGCCAAGAGTAGTCCAGATAGTGAAATATCTAGAAAGAAGTTTATTTTCAATGCCTTCTCAATCCCTTTTCCCATCACTTCTCCCCATCTAGAAAGAGAGAGCTACTGTTTTTGAAGTCTACAGGAGGTTCATCCTATATTTAGATTCTAATTTTAGTGAAACTATATTGAGAGGAACGAAAGTTAAGACATCTGTACAGTTTTCCATTTGCGCTAGTTTTATAATATTAGTACTTGTTCTAAGTTATGTGTTTGCTTATGTAAATAGTATGTTGATAAGCAATTTTGTATATAGTGCTTGTTGCTCTCCACTGTGACAGACAGCAAAAAAATAAGGCGGGACAGTGGGCTTGGTAGGACTGAGACATATCAATATCTTGAGTGAGCTAATACAGCTAGTATAATCACTGTGTCTGGGGAAGGCCAATAATATGGTGCATGTTTGATTGTATTTTTAAATATTTGGTCAGTGTTTATATAGAAAAAATATATCTGCATGGAGGAGAGCAGAGGAGGAAGATTGTTTCTTTTCAGCAAAGAGGTTTAGCTCTGGCCTCTAATTTGCACTTCCTTGCGGTAATAGACATACTCATCTAATAAGGCAGTTTATGATATCACTTGGAGACTCCTCCCTACTCAGTCATTTAGTGTTTCAGTAACCACATAGAGTATTCTTGCTAAGAGAAGTTCTGAGAGATACAGTGTTTTCTCTATATTATCATATTTCCACAAGGGAATTGTTAGGCACCTTTTTGCTTTAGCTTCCTGAACTGACAAGTCAGTGCTACTCTTTAAAGGGAGAAATCACCAGCTAAAGAAATGAAACTAAAACTTTGATCAGAGTCAACATCATAATAGGGTATGGAAAAAGCAGGAGCAAGGGAAAGTGATGCGGCCAGGGAATTTAGAGAATTGAAATTTAATCTCACCTCCTTTTGTATATCCCTAAAAGCTGTTAGCACCTGAAAGAAGACAAAAAAATTATGGAAAAATTAATGTTATAGATTTTATTACAAAAGGATTTTATGTGTAGAATCTCCCAGTCATTTGGTTGTATAATGTGAATGCCAAGAGACTATGGCTTCCTAGCTCTAGCAATAAATCCCATTGACACCTCTGTACATTTGTTTCTGGGCTGCCATTTCTCCATATGGTAAATGGGTGAAATATAAGAAGTTATTTAAAGAGGGCTAAGTTGTGAAAGGAATGTAAATGAAATCCACTACTATATTTCATTTCTGTTTAATTGGTCCTTGTTCTGAAGCTAAGCATAGCTGTTAAAATCAATACATTTGTATTTATATTGTAATACACAGGAGGCCACCACCAAATGTTGGTGAGGCTATAGAGCAGCTGGAAATCTCATACATCGTTGGAAGGAGTGTAGAATTATATGACCACTTTGGAAAAAGCTCTGACAGTTTCTTGTAAAACTAAATATGTACCTGTGCTCTCACCCAGCCATAGATGGATACAGTGTTAGAAAACTGATTTGCCTTGTTTTGGGGAAGGGATGAAGACTCTAAGACATAGCTGTATGTTGTTTGGTGAAAATATAGAGTTGTTTTTGTTGATATTCAGGAGTTTTGACTTGTATATAAGGGTGCATATGGAAGCTGAATAGTCAATGGTGTGGACTGTGCCAGTTACCAATTTATTGCCTCTCAACACTCTTTGTTATATCATACTCACCCTGTATTATGTCAAAGGTATCCAACTGTCTACTGGTTCCCAACAGGATGGTTTTCTGAATGTTATCATAAGCAACTCACTCTTTAGCTAGTATAGTAATTGTAAGAACACTAAAAATATTTTAATATAACATTTTAATTAAGAGGATTATTTCTTTTTGTAAAATTTATAGAAAGAGTCATTGAAAATCACAGAGAATAAAAAAGTTGATCACGTTACTCATTTCATTTAATATTGTTCAATGAGGCCTTGCAGGAGACGCTGTGGAGACATTTACTCATTTTTAATAAAAAATCCATAGTCATTGATTTAAGAAATAGACTTTTCCTTCGTACCTCCATATGGAAAGTTGATATTGTAGGTTCAAAAGTGATCAGTTGTCCTCTAATTTTTATCTCTATCCAAGAGTTTAAATGTACATGCAACTAGAATGTCAAGATTGGGAAGTTGAAATAGCTGATATTTTTTGGAAGGCCTCAGAAACTCCAAGTAAATGTCTGTGTCCTATGAAAGTTCCCAGTAGTTTGCTCAGGCTATCTTATGGGCCTAACTAGCTTCTGCACTGATATACCATTCAAATATAAAGTGAAATCTGGCATTTTCATGTTTGAGAATTGGCCACCTTGATTGTCATTTTCCCATATCTGGGAAACCAAGAACATTCTATCAAAGTGAAAAAGATATTAATTTTAATAGAATTAAAAGAAGCTACTCTCAAATTTATTAAATTTAAGTCTATTTTAAAGCAATTTCAAAAATCAGGGCTTAATTAGATTCTGAGACTTACTGCTTCATGGCATTTCTTCTGTTAGAAGACTGAAGGCAATAATTTCCCATTGGTAACCTAATGAGCCTATTTATCATTTTCAACTTATACTTCTCAGATCCCAAAGCACTCTCTTGATAGGGTTCAACAATTTCATTCATTATTCAACGTCTGATTTAATTATCTTCTGCAAAGGAAGACATTTTTTTCAACTAGATCTCTTTAAACCAATTTAAGTGATTTAATCTAATTTCCTTGAGATTAAAATACTGGTTTTTTCCTAACCACAGAAAGGGCAATTGTTTTTTTCCTAAGTTTTCCCGATGTGAGATTTTATTTTATTTTTTATTCCGGTAGCATTGGTTTATAACATTATATAAATTTCAGGTGTACATTATTGTATTTTTATTTCTGTGTAGATTACCTCATGTTCACCACCCAAAGACTAATTACAATCCGTCCCCACACACATGTGCCACACATCCTGAAAGGGCAGTTCTTCTTCACACCCAAAGTACAGACTCATATTCTTTTACTTTCTTTTCAGCACTTTACATCTCTCCAACAAATAGCAGATGTGAGTCTCTCAAATAGAATAAAATAAAGAACAAGAAAGCTCCAGGCATACTTTTCTACTGTTAGCCATTATTCTCATTTAGATTATTGTCAATAAACTTGGGAATATGTAGGACATTTTGAAGCATTTAAAAAATTTTGTTGGCAATCTCTGGTACACAGAGTGAATCTGGCATTTGTGCTCCTTCAAAATCTTTATTAGAATATTCTAAAGGATTCAGAACAGGTAGAGAAAAGCCTTAGTAAGAAAGCAGTTTCCCATGATAAAGCAAAGTAGAAGGGTGTCACAACTATTGAGATTATATTGAAATTGTATCTGAATGACTTAATCCAATTTTTATGTCTTTTAATGTCTTGATACAGACCCTCCAGCCATAGCCAATGGGAGAAAACAATCCTCCTCCGTGCTAATGACAAAATCCCAATCAGGTTCCAGGCAAGGGCTCCAGAAGCAATGGGACCACTTGGCATATTGCTCTTGGAAATAATATCTCACTACCAATTATGCAAAAAGTAATCATTTTTATGGACTCAATTTGGCATTCAAATGGATAAAACTAAATATCTCTACTCTTCAAGTTTATTCATTTATTTTTTGAGTGGTATAGTTTGAAGCTAACTCATTCTGGAGGAGCCAAATATTTCAGAAAATTGTGTTTTACGATGTAGGAATCAAGGACCACAGTCAAGTATTTTTCAGACAATTTGAGTGGCTCCAAAGGTAAAAACAACTTTCTTTCTGATCAGAAATAGAGTTAAGATCTTTAATTTTCACAGCAAAATGATAACTTTGCCTTCTTCTGATTGGAGAGTTAAAGACTATAGCTTTCTCTGTACTTGCCCTAATGTGCTTGCTAGTGAACGAGATTTAAATTATTCACTATATAGTTCTTATTAAATGGCTGGCAGAGAAAACATATTTGCGAGGGCTTATCTAATGGACAGGTGGATGTAGAGAAGGGGCGCTGTGATGCTCAGACAGGAGAAGTCTGAGGATTTGGGACTGGATGAGTAATAGACAAAATGAGACGGACCATGGTAATCCTTTCCCATCAATCAGCAAGTTTCTCAAGGGGAAAGAAAGAACTTTACTCTTTTCTTAAGCCCTCTCTCCCTTCTTCCACCTCTCACCATGCTGTCAAAGATGACCCCTCTGTACTTACCTGGTCCCACAGGGTTTCAGTGATTGTTAACTGTGCTTCCTGTTGAAATAAGAGACAAATCTTGGAAACAGTACCCTAACTCTCTCAGAATTTGAATTGACACATCATGAAACTGATAGAATACAAGATATTTTTTTGGAATTGAGATAGAAACTTGAAGTTATCCCATTTGTGAGGCAGCCCAAAGTCTTCTTCATCCCTGCTGGGTCATTCCAACCCATATCTCCTGTCATCTCTTGGTATAGCTGGTGGGTGACAGGTATAAACAGACTCATATGTTTACCCACTTTATCAATACCTGCATAGCCTGCCTGCCTCTGGAGTTATTTAGTATAGTAGTGGCATTGAAGGTGTTACCTAGTCTTGGCAGACAGTGACCCACCAGCTTCTCAAGAGCACCCCAAACCACAATGTCCAAGTCCTCCAAGATATGGTGTTTGTTAGGCAGCTTTCCTGCCTCATGGCCACACCCTCTTCTCCTCTGCTTTTTCCAGGAACCAGGAGCCCCCAAAGAACCAGTGTTTTTAGAAATCTTACCCACCGTTGGTCTCATTCTGTCTTCAATGGATTTTCTGGAAAGAAAGGATGATATAAATCTGATGAGATACTGGGTGAGTGATGTCAGCAATATGGCAGAATAGGAGATTCCAGCCCTCATACCCCCTGCAGAAACAGAAATTTTGACAAACATTCATGGATGGGAATACCTCTGTGTTAAAATAGGAGCCCAGTGAAGAGATTCCAGCACCTCATTTGAACAAAAATCCATGAATAGATGAATTGAAGAGGATAATAAAAACAGTTTCACTTTACCCATGTCACCCCCTCCCCAAAGGCAGCATAGCTCAGTGCCAAGAGAGACCCTCTCAGCCTTTGATTTCTCCCATGGGGGAAAGTGAGAGTGGAAAGAGCACCCTCCTTCCCCAGCCTCATGAGACTTTGTCAAAGAGGCACACTTCTGCCTCACCCCACCCAGATCACTGAGGATAAGCATAGCTGAATAGTATGGGGGGAGCTAGGAACAGAGATGAAGGGTGGATACTCACAGCAGCCCACCACATGGAACTCAAAAACCAACTGCAGATCCTACTACCAGTTTGTGATCTCTACCAAGAGGCCCACCCATGAACTCCATGGGACTCCTCAACTGCAGGCCCCTCCCCTCAAATGACTGACACATGCCCCCAGCACTTCACTCTCCCCAAGATAGTGCTTGCAAGCCTCTACAAATGGCAAGTGCAAGCCTCTGCAGACAGTATGTAGATATCAGCAGCTTGCTCAACTATGTGGGAATGGGAAAAGGCATACAATCTTGAATGTTCCAGGGAACCACTGGGGCAAATAAACAGGAGGCTCTCAGCACCCAGATTGCCTTTGTGGGATCAAGAGAAGGCACAAAATCCTAAGCTCTCCCCAAGAGGAAACAAGAAGATAGGAGTGAGTGCACCTATAGAATAGGCTGAGAAATCCCCAAAATCTTTAGTTGGGCTAACTGGTTCAGGTTTTTCACTCTCAAAGCAAGTCAATAAAGACTGAAACAGGGGACTGCTTCTTTAAATACAAAGACAGCAATGCCAGAATTCATGGAATATGAAGAATCAACAAAATATCACAAAATAAAGCTCCAGTGATGGACCCCCAAAGAAATGGAAGTCCACAAATTGCCTGACAAACACTTCAAAATAATCATTTTAAAGAAGCTCAGTGAGCCATAAGAGGACACAGAAAACTAATGGAAATAAGGAAAACAATACATAAACAAAATGAGAAGTTCAACAAAGAGATAGAAACCATAAAAAAGAACCAAACAGAAATTCTGGAGCTGAATACTATAATGACTGCACCGAAAAATACAATGAAGAGTTTCAACAGCAGACTTAATCAAGCAGAGGAGAGAATCATTGAACTTGAAGACAGATAATTTGAAATATAAACAGAGGAACAAAAAGAAAATGAATGCAAAAGAGCCTTTGTGACTTAGAGGCCACAATCAAATGACACAGTAGAGACATTTTGAGATCCCCAGAAGGAGCAGGGAAAAAGAAAGGGACAGAAAGCTTGTTTAAAGAAATAATGACAGAAAACTTCACATATCTGGGGAGGGAAATGAACATTCAGATTCAAGATGCTCAAAAATCTTAAAGAGACTGAACATCAAGAGATCTTCATTGAGACATTTTAATCAAGTCATCTAAAGGAAACGACAGAGAATTTGGAAAGGAGCAGGAAAAACAAATTGCCACGTACAAGGGAACTCTGAAAAGACTATCAGTTGACTTCTCAGCAGACACCTTGTAGGCTAGGAGAGATTAGGATGATAAAGTAAAGTATTAAAAGCAAAAACTGCTAACCAAGAATACTTCCCCTGGAAAGCTATCCTTTAGAAATGAAGGAAACAGAAAGACTTTCCCAGACAAACAAAAGCTGAGGGAGTTCATAACCACTAGACTTGGCAAACAAATGCTAAAGGAGGGTCTTCAAGTTAACTGAAAGGTTGTTAAGCAACAGAATGAAAACGTATGAAACTATAAATCTCACTGAAAAAGATTAGTATGTAGTCTAATTCAGAATACTTTAGTCTAATACAGAATACTGTAATGGTGCTTAAATCACTTCTAATGCTAGTATAATAGTTAAAAATATTAAAAATAACTATAGTTACAATAATTTGTTAATGGATACATATAAAAAGATGTAAATAATGACATCAGTAACTTGAAGTGTGGCTGAGAGGTGAAAAAAATGTAGAGATTTGTATGCAATTGAAGTTGTTCTTAACTTAAAATAGACTTATACTATGTTTTATGTAAGCCTCATGGCAACCACAAAGAAAAAACCTCTACTACATACACAAAAGGTAAAGAGAAAGGAATCAAAGCATACTACTACAAAAATTCAACGAATCATAAAGGAAGACAGCAAGAGAGGAAGAAGAGAACAAAGGAACTACACAATAGTGAGAATACAACAAAATGGCAATAGTAATTATTGATAACTACTTATCAATAATGATTTTAAATGTAAATGGATTAAATTTTCCAATAAAGAAACAGAGTAGCTAAATGGAGGAAAAAAAGATCAAGCGATGTGCTGTCTACAAGAGACTCATTTTGGTTTTAAGGACAACATAGGCTGAAAGTGAAGGGATGGAAAAGATATTCTATGCAAATGGTAAACAAAAGAGAGCAGTGGTAACTTTACTTATATCAGAGAAAATAGATTTTCAATCAAAAACTGTCACAAGGGAGAAAGAAGGTTATTATATAATGAAAGGAGTCAATTCATGTAGATGATATAACAATTATAAGTATATATGCACCCAACATTGGAGCACCTAAATATATATAGCATATATAAGCAGAACTGAAGGGAGAAAATAAACAGCAATAATAGTGAACTTCAGTAGCCGACTTTCAACAATGGATAGATCATGCAGGCAGAATATCAGTAAGGAAATAGCAGACTTGAATAACACTATAGACAAAATGGTTCTAAAAGACATATACAAAACATTCCATCTAACAGCAGCAAGATTCTTCTGAAGTGCACATAGAACATTCTCCGGGAGAGTTCATATGTTGAGCCAAAAAGCAAGCCTTAACAAATTTAAGAAGATTGATAGCATATCATGTATCTTTTCTGGCCACAATAGTGTTAAACTAGAAGTCAGTAACAGGAGGAAATTTAGAAAATTCAACAACATGTGGAAATTAAATGACACACTCCTGAACAACTAATATGTCAAAGAAAATATCAAAAGGCTTGAATAAATAAAAATATAAATGGAAGAGAAGACATCACAACTGATACTACAGAAATACAAAGATCAGAAGAGACTACTGTGAACAATTATATGCCAACAAATTGGATATCCTAGACGAAATGGATAAATTCTTAGAAACATACAACCTACTAAAACTGAAATATGAAGAAATAGAAAATCTGAACAGACCAATAATGAGTAAAGAGATTTAATCAGTAATCAAAAACATGCCAACAAAGAAAAGCTGAGGACCAGTTGGCTTTACAGGTGAATTCTACCAAACATTTAAAGAGTTAATGCCAGTCCTTCTCAAACTATTCCAAAAAATTGAAGAGAAGGGAACACTTCCAAACTCACTTTATGAAGCCAATATTGCTCTCATACCAAAGCCAGATAAGGATACTACAATAAAAGAAACTATAGACGATATTCCTGATGAACATAGATGCAAAAATCTTCAACTAAATACTATCAAACCAAATTCAACAGTACATTAAAAGGATCATACACCATGATCAAGTGGTATTTATCCCTGGAATACAGGGATGATTCTACATACAAAAATCAATAACTGTGATGCACCACATTAACAGAATGTAGGATAAAATTCTAAATAGATGCAGAAAAATGATTTGATAAAATTTAACATCCATTCATTATAAAACTCTCAGCAAATAAGGTGTAGAAGAAATATACCTCAACGTAATAAAGGCCACATATGACAAGCCCACAGCCAATGTCATACTCAATGGTGAAAAGCTAAAAGCTTTCCCTTTAAGATCAGGAACAAGACAAGGGGGTGCATTCTCACCACTCCTATACACATAATACTGGAAGTCCTAACTAGAGAAATTAGGCAAGAAAAAGAAATAAAAGGTATCAAAATTGGAAAGGAAGAGGTAAAACTGTCTCTGAAGGGACTGGCCCCGTGGCCGAGTGGTTAAGTTCGCGCGCTCCACTGCAGGCGGCCCAGTGTTTCGTTGCTTCAAATCCTGGGCGCAGACATGGCACTGCTCATCAAACCACACTGAAGCAGCATCCCACATACCACAACTAGAAGAACCCACAACGAAGAATATACAACTATGTACCAGGGGGCTTTGGGGAGAAAAAGGAAAAAAAAAATCTTAAAAAACTGTCTCTGAAGATGACATGATCTTATATATGTATAAAAAACCCTAAAGACTCCACCAAAAAATTGTTAGAACTAATTAACAAATTCGGTAAAGTTGAAGGATAAAAAATCAACATACAAAAATCAGTTGTGTTTCTATACACTGTAGTTAACTTACTGAAAAAGAAATTAAGAAAATCTCATTTACAATAGTATCAAAAAGAATAAAATACTTAAGAATAAATTTAACCAAGGAGGTGAAAGATCTATACATCGAAAACTGTAAGACATTGATAAAAGAATTTGAAGAAGACACAATAAATGGAAAGATATCCTATTTTCATGGATTGGAAGAATTAATATTGTTAAAATGTCCATACTATCCAAAGCAATCTAGAGATTCAATGCAACCTCTATGAAAATTCCAATGGCAGTTTTCACAGAAATAGAATAAACAATACTAAAATTTGTGTGGAACCACAAAAGACCCTGAATACATAAAGCAATCCCGAGAAAGAAGAACAAAGCCAGAGAACACACTTTCTGATTTCAAACTATACTACAAAGCTATAGTAATTAAAATGGTATGGTACTGGCATAAAAATAGACACATAGACCAATGGAACAGAATATAGAGTCCAGATTTAACCCCTGCAAATGTGGTCAACTGATATATGATAAGGGAGCCAAGAACACCCTGTGGGGAAAGGATGGTCTCTTCAACAAATGGTATTGGGAAAACTGGATAAACACATGCAAAAGAATGAAATTGGACCATTATTTTAC